GAGATGGGCGGATCACGAGGTCAGGAGATCGAGACCATCCTGGCTAACCCGGTGAAACCCCGTCTCTACTAAAAAATACAAAAAACTAGCTGGGCGAGGTGGCGGGCGCCTGTAGTCCCAGCTACTTGGGAGGCGGAGGCAGGAGAATGGCATAAACCCGGGAGGCGGAGCTTGCAGTGAGCTGAGATCCGGCCACTACACTCCAGCCTGGGCAACAGAGTGAGACTCCATCTAAAAAAAAAAAAGAGAGAGAATATGCTGCACCGTATACCAACGCACTTAAAAACTTAGCTGAAATGAATTAACTCCTAAAAACAAAAACAAAAACTTACCAAACAAAACTGACTCGAAACGAAAAAGAAACCTTGAAGAGTCGTCTTTATTATCCTTTTTTGTTGGATTATTCTGTTTTTTTTTTTTTTTTTTGCGTTCTTATATTGGGAGACTTAGCTCATTAATTTTTACTTTTTTCTAATATAGTATTTTAAGACTAAATTTTCTTCTGGAACAACTTGTATCCCTAAACTTTTGATGTGTCTTATGTTTGTCTGTGTTTAGTTCTTAATTATTTAAATTTATGATATTTTTGACTCATGAATTATCAGAAGTATGTTTTTAATTTGAAATGGTTAGGGATTATTTTCTCATAACTTTTAAATTTGACTTCTAACTTAAATTGCTTGGTGGTCAGAGAACAAACCTATTATACTCATCCTTTGAAAGTATATGTACCTTTTCATAAATGTTGTGCTTGAGAAGAAGAATATCCTTTGTTATGGGCAGTATCCTATGTGATGTCCATTACAGCAACCATGCTAAGAACATGTAGCTCAAGTCTTTATCTGCATGGTGACTTGTGCCTGTAATCCTAGCTATTTGGGAGGCTGAGGCGGGAAGATCACTTGAGCCTTAGAGTTCAAGGCTGCAGTGAGCTATGATCATACCACTTGTTCTCTAGCCTGGATGACAGCAAGACCTCATCTCTTAAAACAAAAACCGCTTCTATATTTGTACTGATTTTTTCATCTGCTTAATCCACCAGTAATTGAGAGAATTATGTTAATCTCCCATGAACATGGTGAATTTTCTATTTCTACCTGTGTTTTTATTAGTTTTTACTTTCTAAAACTTAAGGTGATGTTGTTAGCTACTTGGAAGTTTAAATTTGTTCTGTTTCCTTGGTAAATTACATCATCCATCTTCATGTGATCATTCTTTCTTTCCTAAGTAACGCTTTTTGTATAAGTCTGTTGTGTCATTAATAAAGCTACTCTTTATTTTTTTTGAGACGGAGTTAAACTCTGTCGTCCAGTCTGGAGTGCAGTAGTATGATCTCTGCTCACTGCAAGCTCCACCTTCCTGGTTCAAGCAATTCCCCTGCCTCAGCCTTCCGAATAGCTGGGATTACAGGCATGTGCCACCAAGCCCGGCTAATTTTTTTTGTATTTTTAGTAGAGACAGGGTTTCACCATGTTGGCCAGACTGGTCTGGAACTCCTGACCTCAGGCAATCCGCCGTCCTCGGCCTCCCAAAGTGCTGGGATTGCAGGCGTGAGCCACCTCGCCGGCCTAAAGCTACTCATTTTCGATCAGGGGTTGTATTTTTTTTTCTCATCTTTTTTCTTTCAACTTTCTGTTTTTATGTTGTTTATATTAAGGTTATAGTTAGGTTTTTTAAAAGTACAAATCAACAGTCTTTGTTTTGTAACTGATGAGTCAGTCCCTTTTTAGCTATTTGAACTTAACTCTCCACCTACATCTTTGTCAAGTCGTCTTGAATTGACTGAGTTTCGCATTGATTTTCAAAAAATCCTTTTTTCTTCATTGTTTTGAAACTATACGTATTCTTTTTTTTTTTAAAGTGGTTACTCGACATTCGTTATTCATACTTAACAATGTGTAGTTACATACAATTTGAACATCTTTCTCCATCAATACAGAGACTTTAGAATAATCTTTCTCTTCTAACTTATATCCTGTTGTGGTTCACTATTTTAGTTTTATTCTTTTTAAAAAAACTCTACTGTTGAATAGCATATATTGTTTGTTTGGATTTGCATATATGATTACCATTTATTTGTTCAGCCATTACTTCTTTTCATGTTAGATCCTCTAGGATAATTTTTCTTTTTCTCTAGGTATATCTGATAGATGTTCCTTTTTTCTTTTTTTTTTTTTTTTTTTTTTGAGATGGAGCCTCACTTTGTTGCCCAGGCTGGAGTGCAGTGGTGCCATCTCGGCTCACTGCAAGCTCCATGCCATCTTCCTACCTCAGCCTCCCAAGTAGCTGGGATTACAAGCACCTGCCACCGCGCCCTGCTAATTTTTGTATTTTTAGTAGAGATGGGGTTTCACCATGTTGGCCAGGCTGGTCGTGAACTCCTGACCTCACAATCCGCCCACCTTGGCCTCCAAAAGTGTTGGGATTACAGGCTTGAGCCACTGCACCCGGCCTGATAGACATTCTTTTGGTGAAGTCTGTTGGTTGTAAGTTTTGCTTATTTTTTTGTTGATGTTTACAAAGGCAGTTTGAATCTTGAAATAAAATGTTGTTGAGTACACTTTTCTAGGTTGATATTTTTTCTCAACACTGTTTTTTTTTTTTCTTTTTTTGAGATAGAGTCTCACTCTGACGCCCAGGCTGGAGTGCAGTGACATGATCTCTGCTCACTGTAACCTCTGCTTCCTGGGTTCAAGTGATTCTCCTGCCTCAGCCTCCCAAATAGCTGGGATTACAGGCACGCACCACCATGCCCAGCAAACGTTTGTATTTTTAGTAGAGACGGGGTTTCACCATGTTGACTAGGCTGGTCTTGAACTCCTGGCCTCCTCTCAACACTTTGAAGATGTCCCAATGTATTCTGGTTTCCATTTTTTATATTGGGGAGTTTGTGGTCAACCTAATTCTGATTCCTGTTCACCTTGTATAATGAAGGGTCTTTATATGTTAGGTTTTTAAGATTTGTTTCCGGATCTTCCCCTGATACTGTGGGTATTCATTCACCATGTGATAGTTCTCTTTTCTATTTATAAAGTGAATTTCTATTACAATCTAATGACGTATTTTTGGTGGGCATTTTGTTTTTTTAAAGTACCATAATGTTTGTTTTTAATTGTGTTTTTTCTTTAGTTGCCTTTCCCCATCTTCCTGGTTCTGCGCCTTCATGGCCTAGTCTTGTGGACACCAGCAAGCAGTGGGACTATTATGCCAGAAGAGAGAAAGACCGAGATAGAGAGAGAGACAGAGACAGAGAGCGAGACCGTGATCGGGACAGAGAAAGAGAACGCACCAGAGAGAGAGAGAGGGAGCGTGATCACAGTCCTACACCGAGTGTTTTCAACAGGTTTGTTGGGTGTGCAGGAGTTTATACTATGTATTTTATAACCGCTTTCAAATTTATTTTTGTTATGAGGAAGTGAATTTCAATTCACTTGGAAAAGAGATGCTCAGGGAGTACTTAGGAAAGCCATCTTAAAATGATAAAGGATTAGAGGCTTCCCGTTACCTTGAACAGCCGTCCTTTAATTTGTTTACTTATCTCTTAAAAGAATTTTCTACCCCTTCATTTATTTTTATCTTGCCATCTAAGTTTTTCATCTTAAGCTTAAATTAGTTGACCATATAGATATTTCCAGTGTATTATAAATATTAATATTCAAAAATAAAATTATCACCACTTTTATTCTGTTTTTAGAGACAGGGTCTTGCTTTGTCACCCAGGCTGGCTGGAGTGCAGTGGCATGATCATAGCTCACTGCAGTCTTACATTGGAAGAAGATGCCATCTAAGACTTTCATAGCTAGAGAAGAGAACTCAATGCCTGGCTTCAGAGTTTGAAAGGACAGGCTGACTCTCTTGTTTCCTAATGCATTGTTCCCTAATGTAGGAAGTCCTGGGCTCAAGTGATCTTCCTGGCTTAGCCTCTCAAGTAGCTAAGACTACAGTCATGCATCACCATGCTTGGCTCATTTTAAAAATTTTTTGTAGAGACAGGGTCATGCTGTGTTGCCCAAGGTCACTCTTAAAATATATCCAGTGGATTAAAAACATTATAGTGATTTTCCAAACACCATTATCCATTTTTTAAAGAAAATGCACAAATAGGCTACCTTTAAGAATTGGAAATTTTACTTAAAACTTTTTAAATGGGTTTTCCTATTAGTCTTTCCTGCCACACACTTATGTATTAAGTTTTAATATTTAAGAAAATTTGTCTTACATATGTTTTAAAAGGTTTTCCTCCTGATTTTAGTTATTATTTTTATATTCTATCAGTGCAAACCACATGTATAACAGTGGTCTCATAAGATTACAATACTATTTATACTGTATCTTTTGTTTAGATACACAAATACTTACCATTGTGTTAAAATTTTCTACAGAATTCAGTGCAGTAATATGCTGTACAGATTTGAAGCCCAGGAGCAATAGTCTATAATATGTAACCTAGTGTATAATAGGCTGTACCATCAAAGTTTGTGTAAGTACACTGTGTGGGGTTTGCACAACAATGAGATCACCTAATAGTGCATTTCTCAGAACATATCCCTGTCATTAACTGACACTTGACTGTATACATACACATTTCAAAATGTATACATTTTGAAAATAATGTAATGGAACCGCATCGTTTAATGAGAAGGAGGAGCTTTCCTCTATCCCCAGTGAGTATTACTATTGTTAGGAAAAAACAGAGTTTGTTCAGAATACTTACAATATTCAGTAAACCATCCTGTAAACAGATGTGCTGCCATTCAGGCTTCGGTGTTCCATTGTTAGAGCACAGGCAGAGTCGATTTACCATAATTCTAAGGACTCCAGGATTTTCAGGGTGGTAAATGAGCACCAACTTTAACTTAAAATCACCAGCTACATTAAGGAACAATGCATTAGGAAACGAGAGTGAGCCTGTCCTTTGAAACTTGAAGCCAGGCATTGCCTTCTCTCTAGCTGTGAAAGTCTTCATGGCTTCTTCTTTCAGTATAAAGCTATTTGATCTACATTAAAAATGCGTTGTTTAATGGAGCTACCTCCATCAGATGATCAGATTAGCTAGATCATCTGGATAACTTGCTGTAGCTTCTACCTCAGCACTTACTGCCTCACCTTGTACTTTTATGTTATATAGATCACGTCTTTGCTTAATCCTTACAAACCAACTAACTTCTGCTAGCTTCTGTTTCTTCTGCAGCTTCCTCACCTATCTCTGCCTTCATAGAATTGAAAATAATTGGGCCTTGCTCTGGATTAGGCTTTGGTTTAAGGGACTGTTGTGTGGCTGGTTTGTTCTTCTACCCGGACACTAAAACTTTCTCCATATCAGCAATAATGCTGTTGTCATTTTCTTAACCATTCATATGTTCACTGGAGTAGCACTTTTAATTTTCTTCAACAACTTTTTCTTTGGCTTGACAACTTGTCTTTTTGGCACATGAGGGACAGACTTTAGCCTGTCATGACTTTTGACATGCCTTCCTCTCCAGGCTTCCTCATTTTTAGCTTAATCATTTTTAGCTTTTGATTTAAAATGAGAGATGTGCGATTCTTCCTTTCACTTGAACGCACAGAGGCCATTGTAGGGTTATTAATTAGCCTCATTTCAACATTATTGTTTCTCAGGGAATAGGGAGACCCAAGGAGAGGAAAGAGATGAGCTGAACAGTGGATCAGTCAAGAACATGCACATTTATTAAGCTTGCTGACTTATATGGGTGTGGCTTATGGTACCCCTAAACAGTTACACTAGTACCTCAAACTAGATCCTGTTCAGCGATGTTGTAACAAATTACTGAGTTTATTTTGGTGCAGAAAAATGTTGAAATCCATGCATAATTTTTTCATAGTATGCATTTTCCATGAACTTTTTGAAGACCCCTCATATTGTCAAGCTGACTAGGACTGGTCAGTAGCTTAAAACTTTACCTAAAAAAATGCACAAGAAGGAACTGATAAGGATTTATTCATCTTTTTTCCTTCCTTTGGCTCCTACTAATATGACTTATACATCGTAGGCACTTAATAAAATTTTATTGACCAAATAAGTAAACACTATGATACGTGTGTGTGCGCGCGCGCGCGCGCATGAGTATATGACTTGTGTTTGCTTGGTGGGAAATGTGCTGTTGACTTTAGCCAATTTAAGTGCATGATTCTTTTAAGTTCGAGGGCATTACTTTCCAGAAAGTCAAATTGTTTCTAATGTGGAAATGAATATGTTTGAGATAGCATTGCTATCTCTAGATTGTACATGTTTATAAGTAAGGAGCTTAATGCAAAATTTGATAGGAAATAAGAGTAAAATAAATTGCTTTACCAGGCAGGGCTTATAAATTTTCTTTGCATAAATAACACATTGTTTATAGAAGATTTGGCTAAATCCTCTAATTCTTCTGCTTCAAATACATGCACAGATATTACTGAGTTTTTATTGCAACTTAAAAGCATTAATGGTTAAACCACATTTGATATTCAAGTTGCTGAACTGTAGGGCATTAGGAGTCAAAGTTTACCTAAATTTGACTGAAATGTTTAAGGTCAGAGAGGCAAAAAGTGGAGGAATTTTGAGTTCTGAATTATCCCAGGAAAACATTATGCTCTGGAAAATCCAAGTGAAGTATAAGTAAAGGTGTCTGAAGGCTGATATTTTAGCAGTATGGCATGTAGTATATGTTGCTTTACAAATTACAGGGCCATTGTTTTGAAAAGTACAGACTAGTTTCAACTTCTGCTTTTTAGGCAGCTTAATTATGGGCCAGAAAGAAGGCTGGTCATTTGAGGATGTTTGAAATAAACTCTAATGTAATTTCCAGGTTCAGAGAAACCTTTCTGGTTCAGCCATTTATCAGAAAAGGGGATGGAAGGAGGAGGGTCTTTCTATTTTGTGTGTAGGACCCAATCTTCTACCATCTGTTGTAAGGTTCCCATCACAGGGCTGCTTTTAGAATCTAAAGGCTTCAAGTTCAACAAGAGTTGGTTTTAGGGTAAGAGGAAAAGGAGAGTTACAAATGACATATTATGAGATAATTGACTTTAATTATTTTTATGTAAATCTAGTTGCAGTCATTGAAAAGCCTCATTTTTTGAGAGAAGTTAACTATATTTCTTATGGTGCTAGTTTATTCTACTTCAAGACATGGTACTAAAAAGTTCTGCTTCTGAAAAAATTAAGCATTAAATTCACCAAAGACTGCCATTTATTGAGTGCCTGCTTTCATACCAAGCACTTTATAAATGTTGTCAGTTCTGTAAAAAGCCTTGAAAAATACTCTTGGCAGTTTTACAGATGAGAAAACCGAGGCTGAGAGAGGTTAAGTAACAGCCTGGGTCACTCATTTAGTAAGTGGCAAAATCAGGATGTGATCCTGTGTGTACTCCACTTGTACTCTTTCTGCTGTTCTCCACTGACTGGCATGGCATGTTCCCTTTCAGGTGACATGCCTCCACACTCCAAGTACAAAGTACATATTTATGGATAGGAAAAAAATAGTGGAAATAACATATACAAATATGTGCAAAAGTATATATTAATACATTTTCTGTTTTTTAAATGAGATTCTAAAATTTTAATGTATCACAGATAATAATTTGGTCAGCAGTACAATTGGGCATTAAGCATAGCATTACTGAATCATTACTTTTGCTAGAACATAGGCTGACATGTCTTTTAAAACATGGCTTATAGTTGTCACCTGACTATGTTAAACCCTGAGATTCCTTACCATCTTGGTATTTCATACAAATTACTACTTTAATAATTCATATTAAACATTTCTAGAAATCAAAGCTCTTCAGCATACTCTTCTAAAAGATTATTTTATTCTAAGGGAATTTACTGATGTAGAAAGTGTTGACTTCTGTGCTAAACAAAAAAAAGAAAAAGGAAGAAATAAGAGACATGAAGGATAAAGAGAAAGATGGAAAGAGAATGTCAGTTAAAGGACATGAAAGGAAAAGAGGTCTAGGGAGGTAAAGAAAGACCACCCTCTAACTCTAGCCATTCGTCTCAGTTTCACCAGTCTGTATAATTCAATCCAAAATCAGAAAATGGAGATGCAACTTATATGTATGCAGTTGAAGTTATTAGCCATGTAGTTCCCCCTCCCGCGCGCGCACACACACACACATAATTAGGATGTCAGAATGCAGGTATGTCCAATCTGCATTTTGTATGGATACTGTAGAAGTTGCTTTAATGTTTCTGTTCTTTATGTTTATACTTCTGTATTTGATGAATATTTAATGATAAACCTAAAGTTTAAAAACATAACTTGCTTTCTGTTTTGTAGTCATTGTGAGTTGTATATTTTTATAATGTTAAATATGTGTCCAAGACTTTCCAAGCATATTGATTAGAAATCTGAGATAAATATTATTTTAATTCTCAAAGGAGCAAAAATTTTAAAAGCTGGTAACAATGTAAATCAGTTGCAGATCTCACTTTTTCAAGAAATGAAAAAACCAAAGCATTTTTATATTAAATCTTTTTAACAGCTATGAAAGCACAGAACAAAATTGGTCATTTAACCTATGTAATTATTATATATTTATATTCTTAGCTCTAGTGCTATTTTGAGAACAACCATTGTTTTCCTCTCAATTCAACAAATATTTATTCCTCACTAATGTTATAAAAGATGCTAATGTGAGGATTTGGGGTTTGGACTGCAGATCACATCTCCTCTTTTACAGTTTGAATCCATTCAGAATTAATGGTCCAGTTGTCAAGAAAACATTTCTATTTCAATTTCAGCGATGAAGAACGATACAGATACAGGGAATATGCAGAAAGAGGTTATGAGCGTCACAGAGCAAGTCGAGAGAAAGAAGAACGACATAGAGAAAGACGACACAGGGAAAAAGAGGAAACCAGACATAAGTCTTCTCGAAGGTTTGCTCTTTAATAAAATAGTGAGCCAATAGTATGGGAGAGATTTTGACTTACTACATTATCGCATTGGAAGAGGGGAAATTTTGGCCTATGAACCAGTCTTTCGTAAGTTATGAAACGAAGCAGTGCTTGGTTTCATTAAAGAAAAATTCAGGGCCTTGTCTCAAATTTTTTTAAAAAAATTAAACAAAATACCTATTGTTTGCCAAAAATCAACCCTTTACAGTATTTCCAGTTTTGAGTTAGTGCTTGTTTCTAATTTGTTACTGTATATTATAATATGCATTTCAGAAGCTGTATAGGCACTGGGAATCTGAGATAATATCAGTGAAGATGGCCCTATAAAATAAATACAATCCCTGCATAAAAGTCACATAAAACTGATTATTCCCCACACTATATTGATGAGAAAATGCATTAGATTATTTTAAACCCAGTGTTATATTGAGAATTTCCTTAGAGTGATTGGATTTTTGTCACTGATTGTGTATTTAAACAGAACACACCTTTTTTATTTCAGTAATAGTAGACGTCGCCATGAAAGTGAAGAAGGAGATAGTCACAGGAGACACAAACACAAAAAATCTAAAAGAAGCAAAGAAGGAAAAGAAGCAGGCAGTGAGCCTGCCCCTGAACAGGAGAGCACCGAAGCTACACCTGCAGAATAGGCATGGTTTTGGCCTTTTGTGTATATTAGTACCAGAAGTAGATACTATAAATCTTGTTATTTTTCTGGATAATGTTTAAGAAATTTACCTTAAATCTTGTTCTGTTTGTTAGTATGAAAAGTTAACTTTTTTTCGAAAATAAAAGAGTGAATTTTTCATGTTAAGTTAAAAATCTTTGTCTTGTAATATTTCAAAAATAAAGACAGCAATGACTTTATATCCAAGAAAGGAATGTGAATGAGTCACTTAACAGGGACTCTAAAGAGCTGTGTTAGCTGTGTACATAAACAAATTATCTGAGAAAAGGTCAAGGTTCCACTTGGGCCACAGTTTTGTTAATCAAACAAACAAAACACCAGTCTCGTAAGAGGCTGCACCACAAAAGGCAACAAAGGGCCCCTCTAAGGCTTGAGACTAAAACTAGTCTTTATCATTAGTGCTGTGACACTCTTGCTTAGTATATTAAGAGACTCATACATTTTTGATATCACAACTTTTTGATGGCTTTTCAGTGTTCTAAATTTGGGTTCCTGGTGAAACCAAATGGGGTGCACTTTCATATCCAAATTAATAAAACCTATAAGGCATTTGGGTGGGCTCTATGAAATAAATTACCCTTAGTGTAGTTTCTAGGAGGCACGTGTACAAACACTCTTCATTGTGGCACAAATTTAAATAGTCTCATGACCATGTCTATGAGCCAGGGTCAAGCTGGTTTGGCCTTGATGCATTTCCCAAGGTCCACTGGTGGAGCAGCGCAAGTTTTTATACAGTCGCTAACGATTGTGGAAAAAAGAGCTTTAGCCATTACTAAAACAAAACAAGTTTATAATTCTCTGAGCATTTTTAGGGATAGCCCTAGAAGACATTTGTCAGTGATGGTAACATATAACATGGTATTTGAAAGGATAAATTACTAGGATCTTTTAAATGGTGATAATACAAGTAATCTTAATTAGTATCACATACTAAAAGACAACTATAATTTCTGAAAAATATTTATTGTTTGATGAAAGCATTGTTTCTCAGCAATGCATTTAAAAAAATCTTTTAGCTGTAAATTAAAAATGGTCATAATGTACCCTTGGCAGATTTCAGCATATACTAAATTTTAAATTTAAATCAACTTGAATTCAATGGGGTATACAAATCATTTTAGCTGTTTAGGGCTTCTTACTGAATAGAAAAAATATAAACAAAGTTGTAGAGTAATGAGAAATCCTCCACACTGAAAAAAAACTATTAGTTTTAATATTGTTGGAATCGTATTTTCTGAGGTGTAACTGACTTTCATTAGATCATACTTTTCCTGACATTTTAACAGTGTATTTACATATAAAAACTGACAAGATAAATACAGTGTTTCAACTTAGCCTATTTGTGATTTTTATGTTTTTCTCTGACCCATGATTGATTCTATAAAAAAGTGCCAGGCCAAGAAACAATAGTTAGAGTAATTCTTCCTTTAAGTTCTTTCAGCAGTCTTGCCAAGCAAGCATGTGTCATTCCTGATGTACTTCTACCATTGACAGCAAGAAGAATATCACCACATCTAAAAAAAAAACCAAGATATGATTAGTATTTTAATTCATTGCTGAAGTTAATGCAAGTTTATCTTAGTGGTCCTAATTTTTGCTGCATCTGACCATTTTAATTATGTTGCTTTTAATTTAGATATTTCTTGCCTCTTATTTACATTCTCCAAACTCACTATCCACTCAGCTTGTGTTAGAAGGAATGCTAAAAGTATGGGGAGTTGTAGTATGGGACTAAGAATATGTATAATTATTTTGGATTTCTCAGAAGTTGAATGCTACATAAATACTTTAACTCCCCACAAAGTATAATAAATACATGCCTTATCTCAAATGAGGCCAAGCTTTGGCATTTATTAAACAACATTTAATACAAGTTTTTTTGGTTAGTCATTATTATTACCTAATTCTTCCATCATTGTATGCTGGTGTTCCTTCAACAATGGATTTGATGAAAAAAGGTTTGTTTCCATTGTATTCTTCATAACCTCCTACAATGCAGAAGCCCAGACTTCCAGCTGTGTTTCTTCGTAATATAATGTCTTTACAGTTATACAAGCACCTGAAATAGAATGTAGTCAGTGTACGTGCACATTTAAGTGTTACAGTTAAGGGAATACTTAACTGTGATTCATCCCCCATTCCTTTTGTTGGCATTTTTAATGGCTAAGTAGCACTGCATAGGTCCCACTCAAAATTGTATCGTACCTTGGTGACCTTTGTGCTGTTAGCTGGCTTTTTGTAATTGAACCTCTGTTTTCCATAATTTTGAATATCCTTAAAAACTGACACCCCCTATTGTGTTCTGTTATACATCTACTGGGAACGATAGTCATATTTTTAACTTAAGACAATGCTTGAATTTGTATTAGCAAAAAGTTGGATAAACCTAAATCCTTATTGGTGAACAAACATGGATGTCATATAATATTTACTTGATATAATTTTTAATGAAGGCAAAAATCCTTTGAATAATCTCAATGAAAGCAATTTAAACCTAATCCTAATAAATGAATTTGTATACTTTTTTTGACCTTGGAAAAATACCACTTTACACCCAGTTCTACATGTTTGGCAAGTCATAGAGAAGCATGCAGGCATAAAGTGAATGGAAACAGATACATTTAAAGATTATAAGAACAATTCATATAGGAGGAAAAACAAACTGCAGGAAACTGGATAGGAAGTTATAAAAGGAATGGGAGAAGGAAAGGCCCAGCTCTTCTGTAAATTAGTAGAATCCTCAACTAAAATAGCAAATGAGATTGAAGAAATTTTTATTCACTGGCCCCTAATGAATCAGTGTTCATATAGGTACAGGCCAAGTGTTAACTATGTTACAGTTGCCATAGAAGTGTATGTCAGGAGTTGAATTTTACTCTCTATGAGGTTGTTCACCACATTTGTAGCTGTAGTCCAGGAATTGTTTTGAAAGGAAATTGGCCTTTTCATGTTGCCAAAAATCAAGATATGGCTATTTTGTTTATATACCGTACCTTTAAAATATTAATTGCTTTTTAGAACCAATAAAAAGTCTTGTGAAATGTTAAGTGATAAAGTTGATCATTACATTTGTTACCAACCTTGTTAGTCAATGTGACATGACTTTTTTCATGATGATGTTTTCACTTGAAATAAAATGAGCTTTAGGGTTTGTTTGGCAAATACCTTTAAAATGTATTGCTGAAATTCAACTCTAACCAGTTCTGAATCTATTGTCATACATATACATCATAACAATTTCTTTTACTGAAATGATTGCTTAAAAGTATGAATTTCATTAAATTTCATATTTTGTAAAATATGTATCTGCTGCATTTCACAGTAAACCTTGATGTCAGTGGTAAATTCATTCTTTGGGAGCTGTGGTGTGTCAGATACACATTTTACATAATGGTTCACTGACTCCTCATGTACAAAGCAGGTAACTGACTATTCTGTAAATACCAAAGCATTAACATTCCCACCTGGGAGGATATGTGCCCAGTTTTTTGGAGAAAGGTAAGAATTAGATGATTGTTATCCAAGGTCATGATCAAATACCAGTTTTAACATTGCCCAGTTTGATATATAAATGAGTATACTCTTACTGAATATTTTATTTCATATGGAGACGCTGTAAACATAACCATCTAAAACATTACATGTTCTAGTTCAAAGCTTTGAACCCAGTAAGTCACAGTGTGTCCATTTTCTAACCTCTTGATACTGGAGAGAACACCCTGCTTTGATCATCTTTCTGCAGATGTTTAAACAAAACACAAAATCCCCTGCCCTCCTGAAGCATCCATTCAAGTTGATACCAGTGTTACTTGTTTTATTTCCTTAAAAAGTAAATGCTTTCTTTTATTGGTGTTGTGTATTTAACTTTATTGCAGCAGTGAGACCTTCTTATGTTAACCCGTTGCAAAGTCAGACCTTGATCTGACTTTGTGGGCATTTTTTTCTTAAGTTGGGTTATTTTACTCCCCACTGGGAAATGTGGCAGCTGTTTTTGATCAGTGACCTCAGATACTAGGTCGCTTTAAACTTTGAATGTAAATGTGGACTTTTTTCCTATTCTGCACTCATTCTCTAAATTTAGGCCTATCGAAAAAGATTCGGCATAGTATAAAGAGTTTGGTAGTTTTTCCCAATGAGAAAATTATGGTCACCTCAAGAACAAATTTAATGAAATGAGTTAATGAGTATGGTGACTCATTTGATTTCCACTGAAATGAGTTAATGAGAATGGTGAAGTCTTGAGCTGCTCAAGAAGCTAAGTTTTTTCCTAAATTTTTATATATCCCCTTATACTACTAATTTAGTCAATACATATTTGAGAACACTGACTTTGAACTAAGTCTGCAGACTACAAAGAACACTAAGGCAGAGCCTCTTTCCTAAGAAAAACACTGTTTAGAAAATAAGTGTATCAGCCAAAGCCAGTTGAGATCTTGTTTCTTCCTGATTTAAATTATTGTACATTTTTCATTGCTAAGTGGTGTTAGAATAGCAGAGGTTGGAAAGAGGTTGGATGTAGGATGTTTTGAGCTCTTTGTGAGAGCAGAAAATTGGAAATTGAATTTATAGAAACAGTCCTTTCACAAAATGTTGCTTTATTATTTTGCTAGCCCTGTGTTCAGAAAGGTTTAACTTCTTGGCCCCAATTTATATGTAACTATGACCATCAACTTAATAGATTCCAGTGAGTAATGTAGAGCCTCCTACTATGATTAACCTAGCATTTATTCCGTCTTCTGGATCAGGTACCTTTCAGTCTGCGGTGAAGGGACCACCTTTTTTTTTTTCTCCCTAGTTTATTAGTTTATTGTAGACTAATACTTTGGTTAAATAAAAAATGAATTTCTAGAAAAATGAAATCTTTAACCCCAAATTGTGTTGTACATAACAAATATAAAATGTTATAATCAACATAAAAGGAAAAAGAATTATAAAAACTATGCATTGCTCATTTATTTATGGGAATTTAATATGGACAATCACTGTTACACTCATAATTTTGTGTTCCTCAATTATTTTTCTAAAATCATGAGAGAAATGCTGAGTCCCCATATTAAATATCTATATGCATACTTTGAACAAACAGGTATAGCAATGTTTAATGTAAGTGAGGTTGCTTACTACAATAAGTTGACACTGCTACTTGCAGAGGATAAGGGATAGCTAAACCATTTTCTACTCACT